TCAGATTCCGTAAATCTGTTGCGCAGTATTTTATATATATATATATATATAGATATATATATATATAAACTGCAGAAGTATGCAAACAAATGGGAGATGGGAATCCTTAGACTACACTAGTGATATAACCTAAAAAGAATGTTTAGTGATCTTTTGAATAGAACATCGGAACGCCTCATATATCCTATTGCATAATAAAGAAACTACAATATATATTTTAATTGCTGATGGGTTTGGGTGGGGGGGACCTTTAGCAGTTTCAATATTCTTGTAGGAACTTCTGGGTAATAACTTGACCTAGAGCCCTGTCTTTTGAGCCTTTCTGTAGTTTCACTTCTCACCACTGGATGGCGATTTAGTATAACGATTAAGGCCAGCGGCCACACCTGTAGATTATTAACGACTTTCTTTGGATTTATGTGTCTTCTAAAGTGAAATAATTCTGTGTAGCTATATGGAATATATGAGCGATAATACTGTGACTTCTATTAACCATTAAATGTCATATATATATACCAATGGTATTCAAGTCCAAACTAAAAATCATTAGTTTTTGTGTAAATTACTTTGGATGAAATCATTTAAAAAATGCATAAAGTAAATGTTAGGCTGTATTTTAAAATCGACAATTGATTATTTTTCCTCTTTCTTTACCATGTCTGTGTAAAGTATTTTGTTATATACAGTACAGTATGCAGTGACATTCATACATTGTTTTTAGTTTGGAATATATGTCAAAACTTTTGCTCATTAACTGTTAAGAGCATATCTATGTATAAAAACTATAAGAGATTTAATATGTTCTGAAACATGTAAAAAATTATGCTCATACACTCTTAAAAATAAAGGTGCTTCACGATGCCATAGAAGAACCTTTTTGTCTAAATGGTTCCATAAAGAACCTTTAACATCTGAAGAACCGTTCTGTTTGACAAAAGGTTCTTTGTGGCGAAAGAAGGTTCTTCAGATTATAAAAAGGTAAGAAAGAGATGGTTCTTTAAAGAACCTTTGACTGAATGGTTCTTTGTGGAACCAAAAATGCTTCTTCTATGGCATCGCTTGAAGAACCTTTTGAAGCACCTTTATTTTTAAGAGTGTACTCACCTCAAGACTATACTGGAACAGGTCAAGAAGGACATGATAGAATTGTGTCAACAAGGTCTTGACATGAACAGAGATTAGATCACACAATATATCTAAAACGGTAACACCATGTACTTGATAAGTTTAGAAGAGTAGTGAGGGATTGAGAAATGTCAAGGATGAGCCATTCAAAGGCTGATAATGACTGTAATTCTGCAGTGGCGCTACATTAAAGATATAACATTTAACTCCTATATTGCCATTGCAAATTGATTGTGTGTTAAAAAAATGAAGAAAGATTCAATTCCTTCAATTTGAAGGAACAGTTTAACATTTTCTGATAATGTACTCACCCTCAGGATATCCAAGATGTAGATGAATTTGTTTCTTCATGGGAGCAGATTTGGAGAAATGTAGCATTACATCACTTGCTCACCAATGTATCCTCTGCAGTGAATGGGTGCCATCAGAGTGAGAGTCCAAACAGCTGATAAAAACATCACAATAATCCACAAGTAATCCACACCACTCCAGTTCATCAATTAACATCTTGTGCAGTGAAAAGCTGTGTGTTTGTAAGGAACACATCCACCAAGATGATGTTTTTAACTTCAAAATGTTGCTTTAGGATAACATGAGTTCTCTATTCATATTATTGCTATCTCCGATGAAAAAGTTATCTTGTATGAATAAGGAGAGAAATATGTACAGACATTAATTGATGGACTGGAGTCATGTGGATTATTTTGATGTTTTTATCAGCTGTTTCGACTACCCATTCGGTACCCATTCACTGCAGAGGGTACAAAATAAGTATCATAAGAATCCCTAACCTGTTAAGGGTGCATCGACAAAACTGTAATGTGAGCAGTCCAAAATGCTCTTTTTTATTTATAGATTTCTTTATTTTGTTCAAACTGACAGTCACCTATAAAAGGCTTGAAATAAGATTTTTTTCCAAAACAAGTCATGCATGGTCAGAGTGACTTCACAGATTTCATCTTATTTTACAGATAAAGGCTGCTGTAATTGTGTAACATGGAAACATCGCACTATACTGTTATTTCTGGACTCACAACCTCACTTTCCAACTTAGACTGCCAAAACATCCCATGTGGTTTATAACCAGATGAAAAATGCTTCTTTTGAACTATTTCTTTTTTTTTTAAATCCTTTGAAATCATTTTGTTTATTCAAAATTAGTTTATTTTCCCAGCACAACTAGCATTGTGAACAAATTATTTCCATAATAGTTTCTCTTGAATTAACAAAAACAAACCTGCATCTAGAAAATTAATACAATTTTGTCTAATGAAATCAAATCTATTCCATTTATTCTACAATAAAACAGTTCAAAGAGGACAACAGTGGACCACACTTGCTCACCAATGTATCCTCTGCAGTGAATGGGTGCCATCAGAGTGAGAGTCCAAACAGCTGATAAAAACATCACAATAATCCACAAGTAATCCACACCACTCCAGTTCATCAATTAACATCTTGTGCAGTGAAAAGCTGTGTGTTTGTAAGGAACACATCCACCAAGATGATGTTTTTAACTTCAAAATGTTGCTTTAGGATAACATGAGTTCTCTATTCATATTATTGCTATCTCCGATGAAAAAGTTATCTTGTATGAATAAGGAGAGAAATATGGACAGACATTAATTGATGGACTGGAGTCATGTGGATTATTTTGATGTTTTTATCAGCTGTTTCGACTACCCATTCGGTACCCATTCACTGCAGAGGGTACAAAATAAGTATCATAAGAATCCCTAACCTGTTAAGGGTGCATCGACAAAACTGTAATGTGAGCAGTCCAAAATGCTCTTTTTTATTTATAGATTTCTTTATTTTGTTCAAACTGACAGTCACCTATAAAAGGCTTGAAATAAGATTTTTTTCCAAAACAAGTCATGCATGGTCAGAGTGACTTCACAGATTTCATCTTATTTTACAGATAAAGGCTGCTGTAATTGTGTAACATGGAAACATCGCACTATACTGTTATTTCTGGACTCACAACCTCACTTTCCAACTTAGATTGCCAAAACATCCCATGTGGTTTATAACCAGATGAAAAATGCTTCTTTTGAACTATTTCTTTTTTTTTTAAATCCTTTGAAATCATTTTGTTTATTCAAAATTAGTTTATTTTCCCAGCACAACTAGCATTGTGAACAAATTATTTCCATAATAGTTTCTCTTGAATTAACACTTTTTAACTTATCTTTGTTCATTGT